TCCTCCTCCCTGGGGCACCCTCGCCCCGGAGCATCCTCCTCCCTGGGGCACCCTCGCCCCGGAGCATCCTCCTCCCTGGGGCACCCTCGCCCCGGAGCATCCTCCTCCCTGGGGCACCCTCGCCCCGGAGCATCCTCCTCCCTGGGGCACCCTCGCCCCGGAGCATCCTCCTCCCTGGGGCACCCTCGCCCCGGAGCATCCTCCTCCCTGGGGCACCCTCGCCCCGGAGCATCCTCCTCCCTGGGGCACCCTCGCCCCGGAGCATCCTCCTCCCTGGGGCACCCTCGCCCCGGAGCATCCTCCTCCCTGGGGCACCCTCGCCCCGGAGCATCCTCCTCCCTGGGGCACCCTCGCCCCGGAGCATCCTCCTCCCTGGGGCACCCTCGCCCCGGAGCATCCTCCTCCCTGGGGCACCCTCGCCCCGGAGCATCCTCCTCCCTGGGGCACCCTCGCCCCGGAGCATCCTCCTCCCTGGGGCACCCTCGCCCCGGAGCATCCTCCTCCCTGGGGCACCCTCGCCCCGGAGCATCCTCCTCCCTGGGGCACCCTCGCCCCGGAGCATCCTCCTCCCTGGGGCACCCTCGCCCCGGAGCATCCTCCTCCCTGGGGCACCCTCGCCCCGGAGCATCCTCCTCCCTGGGGCACCCTCGCCCCGGAGCATCCTCCTCCCTGGGGCACCCTCGCCCCGGAGCATCCTCCTCCCTGGGGCACCCTCGCCCCGGAGCATCCTCCTCCCTGGGGCACCCTCGCCCCGGAGCATCCTCCTCCCTGGGGCACCCTCGCCCCGGAGCATCCTCCTCCCTGGGGCACCCTCGCCCCGGAGCATCCTCCTCCCTGGGGCACCCTCGCCCCGGAGCATCCTCCTCCCTGGGGCACCCTCGCCCCGGAGCATCCTCCTCCCTGGGGCACCCTCGCCCCGGAGCATCCTCCTCCCTGGGGCACCCTCGCCCCGGAGCATCCTCCTCCCTGGGGCACCCTCGCCCCGGAGCATCCTCCTCCCTGGGGCACCCTCGCCCCGGAGCATCCTCCTCCCTGGGGCACCCTCGCCCCGGAGCATCCTCCTCCCTGGGGCACCCTCGCCCCGGAGCATCCTCCTCCCTGGGGCACCCTCGCCCCGGAGCATCCTCCTCCCTGGGGCACCCTCGCCCCGGAGCATCCTCCTCCCTGGGGCACCCTCGCCCCGGAGCATCCTCCTCCCTGGGGCACCCTCGCCCCGGAGCATCCTCCTCCCTGGGGCACCCTCGCCCCGGAGCATCCTCCTCCCTGGGGCACCCTCGCCCCGGAGCATCCTCCTCCCTGGGGCACCCTCGCCCCGGAGCATCCTCCTCCCTGGGGCACCCTCGCCCCGGAGCATCCTCCTCCCTGGGGCACCCTCGCCCCGGAGCATCCTCCTCCCTGGGGCACCCTCGCCCCGGAGCATCCTCCTCCCTGGGGCACCCTCGCCCCGGAGCATCCTCCTCCCTGGGGCACCCTCGCCCCGGAGCATCCTCCTCCCTGGGGCACCCTCGCCCCGGAGCATCCTCCTCCCTGGGGCACCCTCGCCCCGGAGCATCCTCCTCCCTGGGGCACCCTCGCCCCGGAGCATCCTCCTCCCTGGGGCACCCTCGCCCCGGAGCATCCTCCTCCCTGGGGCACCCTCGCCCCGGAGCATCCTCCTCCCTGGGGCACCCTCGCCCCGGAGCATCCTCCTCCCTGGGGCACCCTCGCCCCGGAGCATCCTCCTCCCTGGGGCACCCTCGCCCCGGAGCATCCTCCTCCCTGGGGCACCCTCGCCCCGGAGCATCCTCCTCCCTGGGGCACCCTCGCCCCGGAGCATCCTCCTCCCTGGGGCACCCTCGCCCCGGAGCATCCTCCTCCCTGGGGCACCCTCGCCCCGGAGCATCCTCCTCCCTGGGGCACCCTCGCCCCGGAGCATCCTCCTCCCTGGGGCACCCTCGCCCCGGAGCATCCTCCTCCCTGGGGCACCCTCGCCCCGGAGCATCCTCCTCCCTGGGGCACCCTCGCCCCGGAGCATCCTCCTCCCTGGGGCACCCTCGCCCCGGAGCATCCTCCTCCCTGGGGCACCCTCGCCCCGGAGCATCCTCCTCCCTGGGGCACCCTCGCCCCGGAGCATCCTCCTCCCTGGGGCACCCTCGCCCCGGAGCATCCTCCTCCCTGGGGCACCCTCGCCCCGGAGCATCCTCCTCCCTGGGGCACCCTCGCCCCGGAGCATCCTCCTCCCTGGGGCACCCTCGCCCCGGAGCATCCTCCTCCCTGGGGCACCCTCGCCCCGGAGCATCCTCCTCCCTGGGGCACCCTCGCCCCGGAGCATCCTCCTCCCTGGGGCACCCTCGCCCCGGAGCATCCTCCTCCCTGGGGCACCCTCGCCCCGGAGCATCCTCCTCCCTGGGGCACCCTCGCCCCGGAGCATCCTCCTCCCTGGGGCACCCTCGCCCCGGAGCATCCTCCTCCCTGGGGCACCCTCGCCCCGGAGCATCCTCCTCCCTGGGGCACCCTCGCCCCGGAGCATCCTCCTCCCTGGGGCACCCTCGCCCCGGAGCATCCTCCTCCCTGGGGCACCCTCGCCCCGGAGCATCCTCCTCCCTGGGGCACCCTCGCCCCGGAGCATCCTCCTCCCTGGGGCACCCTCGCCCCGGAGCATCCTCCTCCCTGGGGCACCCTCGCCCCGGAGCATCCTCCTCCCTGGGGCACCCTCGCCCCGGAGCATCCTCCTCCCTGGGGCACCCTCGCCCCGGAGCATCCTCCTCCCTGGGGCACCCTCGCCCCGGAGCATCCTCCTCCCTGGGGCACCCTCGCCCCGGAGCATCCTCCTCCCTGGGGCACCCTCGCCCCGGAGCATCCTCCTCCCTGGGGCACCCTCGCCCCGGAGCATCCTCCTCCCTGGGGCACCCTCGCCCCGGAGCATCCTCCTCCCTGGGGCACCCTCGCCCCGGAGCATCCTCCTCCCTGGGGCACCCTCGCCCCGGAGCATCCTCCTCCCTGGGGCACCCTCGCCCCGGAGCATCCTCCTCCCTGGGGCACCCTCGCCCCGGAGCATCCTCCTCCCTGGGGCACCCTCGCCCCGGAGCATCCTCCTCCCTGGGGCACCCTCGCCCCGGAGCATCCTCCTCCCTGGGGCACCCTCGCCCCGGAGCATCCTCCTCCCTGGGGCACCCTCGCCCCGGAGCATCCTCCTCCCTGGGGCACCCTCGCCCCGGAGCATCCTCCTCCCTGGGGCACCCTCGCCCCGGAGCATCCTCCTCCCTGGGGCACCCTCGCCCCGGAGCATCCTCCTCCCTGGGGCACCCTCGCCCCGGAGCATCCTCCTCCCTGGGGCACCCTCGCCCCGGAGCATCCTCCTCCCTGGGGCACCCTCGCCCCGGAGCATCCTCCTCCCTGGGGCACCCTCGCCCCGGAGCATCCTCCTCCCTGGGGCACCCTCGCCCCGGAGCATCCTCCTCCCTGGGGCACCCTCGCCCCGGAGCATCCTCCTCCCTGGGGCACCCTCGCCCCGGAGCATCCTCCTCCCTGGGGCACCCTCGCCCCGGAGCATCCTCCTCCCTGGGGCACCCTCGCCCCGGAGCATCCTCCTCCCTGGGGCACCCTCGCCCCGGAGCATCCTCCTCCCTGGGGCACCCTCGCCCCGGAGCATCCTCCTCCCTGGGGCACCCTCGCCCCGGAGCATCCTCCTCCCTGGGGCACCCTCGCCCCGGAGCATCCTCCTCCCTGGGGCACCCTCGCCCCGGAGCATCCTCCTCCCTGGGGCACCCTCGCCCCGGAGCATCCTCCTCCCTGGGGCACCCTCGCCCCGGAGCATCCTCCTCCCTGGGGCACCCTCGCCCCGGAGCATCCTCCTCCCTGGGGCACCCTCGCCCCGGAGCATCCTCCTCCCTGGGGCACCCTCGCCCCGGAGCATCCTCCTCCCTGGGGCACCCTCGCCCCGGAGCATCCTCCTCCCTGGGGCACCCTCGCCCCGGAGCATCCTCCTCCCTGGGGCACCCTCGCCCCGGAGCATCCTCCTCCCTGGGGCACCCTCGCCCCGGAGCATCCTCCTCCCTGGGGCACCCTCGCCCCGGAGCATCCTCCTCCCTGGGGCACCCTCGCCCCGGAGCATCCTCCTCCCTGGGGCACCCTCGCCCCGGAGCATCCTCCTCCCTGGGGCACCCTCGCCCCGGAGCATCCTCCTCCCTGGGGCACCCTCGCCCCGGAGCATCCTCCTCCCTGGGGCACCCTCGCCCCGGAGCATCCTCCTCCCTGGGGCACCCTCGCCCCGGAGCATCCTCCTCCCTGGGGCACCCTCGCCCCGGAGCATCCTCCTCCCTGGGGCACCCTCGCCCCGGAGCATCCTCCTCCCTGGGGCACCCTCGCCCCGGAGCATCCTCCTCCCTGGGGCACCCTCGCCCCGGAGCATCCTCCTCCCTGGGGCACCCTCGCCCCGGAGCATCCTCCTCCCTGGGGCACCCTCGCCCCGGAGCATCCTCCTCCCTGGGGCACCCTCGCCCCGGAGCATCCTCCTCCCTGGGGCACCCTCGCCCCGGAGCATCCTCCTCCCTGGGGCACCCTCGCCCCGGAGCATCTCCCCTCCAGTCCCGTCAGCACCAGGAGCAAGTCCTGTTTCGGCAGCCCTTTAGGGTGCTGGGCACGTCTGCATTTTGGGGCAAATTTATTGGATTTTGGGGCCAGGCTATCTCCTGTGAGAGGCGGGCAAAGCCATCGCCTCCCCTGCTGCGGGGGGGGCCGCATCCTGCCTTCCCAGCGTGCGCCGGCTCCGGGCCTGGCGCTGTGTTATCCAAGCCGGAAACAAGCTGTGGTTTGGAAGAAAAGGGGGAAGTTTTTGTTTTCCTTTGCTGGAGGAATGAGATCGGGGGAAGGAGAAGGGACTCGACGTCCTCGGCGGCCCCGGGGACCAGCTTTCTTCCCCGCACATTCGCGAGAGTTTTTACGAAGCCGATGTAAACTGCCTGCTAAAAACGACATTTGGGGCACTTTTCATTCCCATTTCCTCCTGGCCGCAGCCCGGGATGAGTCAGAAATCCAAAATCATCATCATCATCATCATAAAAAAGGAAAGCGAAGGCAAAACTCCTGCCTGTCTCATAAATAAGAGCCACGTGGCTGGTGCGGGAGTGAGGTGCTGCTGGCCGGAGCAGC